TGATGAATTTCGTGGGTTACACACTTAGTGCCTGTACGGCCATTCATCAACATATGATGAATTCCATGGGTTGCACACTTAGTCCCTGTACGGTCGTTCATCAACATATGATGAATTCCGTGGGTTGCACACTTAGTGCATGTACGGTCATTCATCAACATATGATGAATTTCGTGGGTTGCACACTTAGTGCCCATACGATCGTTCATCAACATATGATGAATTCTGTGGGTTGCACACTTAGTGCCTAGTACACATAATACTAATATACAAATGCAACATATGCCTTTAACAACATGCATCTATAACTCTTAATGTACATAATAAATGCACTCACCTGGTATGCCTCGTAAGTATGCTTTAAGGATGTCCAGCTAATTGGAAACTTTATCTTTGCCCTTTTTCTTGCTTGACTCAGGAGCTTGGTTACGATCTACACAAATATCCATTAAGTACAATACCATACCAATGTTAGCATTCTCTCTAACATTTATACCTTTAATAATACTTAAAAATACTATTATATTCAATTTCTATCAAAATCTGTCCTATTTTAATTTTTCAGACTCAATAGTATTGGTACCCCTACTATGATATTGATACTTCTATACTATTGTACCAATACTCCCTTGCAATATCGATACCATTTTTGTATTATGGAATCCATGGTATCGATACCTTCCTCATAGTATCGATACCCACATCAGTATCGATACTAATTGCATCAATATCGATAATGTTCATCTGATTTCTCTAAATTTAAACCTATAGTATCGGTATTGTCCTTCCAGTACTAATACCCTTACCCAGATTTTTCATTTTTCAACTTGATTTATACCCAAATTTTGTCAAATTCCTTTATTTTTACCTCAAACAATACTTTTAAACTCTTCTTTACTTATCCAAACTAACTTTCATTCATTTAGCTTCTATAACACCTAAAATCTCCAAAGAACATCTCAAATCAAGAATAATACCATTTTTCTACATGTTTTTAATCACATCCAATGATTCTAATCTCTTATTTACTTTTTTGACAAGTCAAATATACTAGTAAACATCAATAAAAACTCATATTCCAACATATCATTCAAAAACCCCTTTCCTTCAATCTCAAATATTTCACTAATCACTTAGTTTTAATCATCCTTGAACTTTCCTTAAGCCTCTATATCACTTAAGGTTTCAAAACTTGTCAATAACCCAAAGAATAAACTAACTAAGAGAAAACCTACATTGACTATGGGGAGAGCACGTGAACATGAGAGAAAGAAGAAGAAGAGGTGACTTAGTTTTGTTTTAGCTTTCCCATTTTTCCCTTCTTAAATCCCTAATAAAAATGAATTTTAAATTCATTTCCCCTTAAAGGACCAAAATGCTCTCTTTATTCATCAATTGTTACTAATTGGTCTTAAACACTATTTCTAAATCATTTCTTATCCTTTATCATTTATTCAAATTAATCCTCCAAATTTAAATATTTTCAATAAAGTTACTGACCTGATATTTGGGGTATTACAATATTTTTTTATTAATTTTAATTTATTTAATTTAACATTTTTCCTAGCAGTTCTCCATTTCTGAATTCCCACATCTCTTTTTTTCGTTCTTTTTGAAGAGAACTTCTCCTAATAGCTCAATCTGTTTATAGATATATGAAAAATATGTTCAAAATAGCTGGATTTCAACTGAATTTGGAACCCTAGCATTTGGATCCAACTTCATGATATATATGTGGAAGCAAACTTCTCTATTTGAATAGAATCTTTCTTTATGTGGTTGTATTTTGTGCTTAAAGTGGTGAGAGGAAATGTTTGGATCAGAGATGGAAGAGATTATCGGAGAAGCGATGGAGATAAGAAGCAATGCGAGGAATGAGTCACCGATGAGGACGACATCGACCACCACGGTAGGTGTACCTCCATTGTTGGTTGTCTCGGTGTCGTTTAGAAAGATCGAATGGCAAAGTTCATCAAGGATGAGAGCCAGGGTTTCAAATCGCGGTCACATTTTCGGTTATTTCAGATTTATCGTGATTGCGGCCGTCGCGGGTAACTCAAACGACGGCAAAACCGTTATATTGCGATCGAAATCGCGGTCGCAGACCATTTTTTAAAACCCTGATGAGAGCTATTAGACCTAACTTCTACGCAGATAATGATGTCATCTCGTTCCTTCAACACCCTTCCTCACACTAGATTATTACCTTAGAGAATAGCCACAATCAGAAACAAAGGCCACCGGTTCTGATTAGGAACTCAAAAGATCCCCTCTCTACACTTCGATCCAAAGGCTTAAAAGCAAATCCTAACTCCTCTAAACCGACCTGACCTTTCAACTCCCTCCAACTCCGATGACTCCTAAAAGTTTCCGACAATAGGTGAGACTCTGAATGGTGAAGGTAAATGAACAATCCTCCTTTCTTTATATTTCGTGCATGTTTTTGAATAAAAACGTTGACTTCCTCTTTTTCTACTCTGTTTTGGTTCGAAAACACCTTAGCTTACTAAAGAAAATATTAAATTAAATAAATTAAAATTAATAAAAATATCCTCCAATCATGTATTGACACATGCCACTAACACAAGTGTTATGATCTTATGATGACACATGTCAAATCCTGAATGAATGGTTAGTTTATTAAATTAAATTTAAATTAGGATGAAATTGAGAGAATATATAAATATTAAAGATGTATAAATATACTAATTTTTTAACTGTCACGTTAGCATTTCTATCAAATATTATTGACAAGTGGTCTGATTGAACAAATTAAATAGTTAACAGCAAATTGAAAGATCGATGACAAAATTAAAAAGATTAAATAGTTAAGCAGTCAACTTTATAATTTACCCAATCTTAAATAATAGTCCCGGCTAAGTTCTAAGCTTTACCCAATCTTAGGGTCCGTCTGATTCACTAAAAATATTTTTTGAAAAATTAATTACATTTCTAGAAAAATATTTTCCAGAAAACATTTTTTCGTTGTTTGGATTTTGCAATGTAAAATGTTTTCCGCTGTTTGGTTGATTTTTCTGAAAATAGTTTCCAAAATTTATTTTCTATAAACAAACTTTCAAATTTTATGAATTTTCTTTTTTTTTAGTTTTATTAAATTAATTTTATTATATATAAAATTATATTTTATAAAATTTTGAATATAATGTATAATGTTTTAATTTTTTGAATATGTATCATATCGGAAGCATATAGATAGTACCATAATAGCCATAGGTATATATACTACTAATTTTCTCATGACAAACTAACCTTTTATTGCTCTAATCGAATATGGTTATAAGCCATTACAATCAAAACCAACAGTCTTGTAGGACCTCAAAACACCCAAAATCGATTTATATTCACACCCAGTTAAACAAACAATTTTATAAGCAAAATCAGAATCAAGAAAACAAACCTGCAAAGAAAACCCCACGAATTGTTCTATCATCTCATTAACTCATTACTATGCTCTAAACATTTCTTTCTTCTTCTCGTCATTTTCCAAAAATTTCAAGTTGTTGCAATACCAAAGCTCGTAGATAAATAATAAGTTTCCCACCTAACTAACTATTCCGTAAATAAATGTGTTTGCAACCAGCTATGTAGCACAACACAAACAAATCAAATACATAGCAAAAATCTAGTAGAGCTAACAACATATGGATACTCCAATAACAAAAAATGTCGATCTTACAATTACTGGTGGCGCTTCCACGATGTTGGTTTCAATGACTTTCTTTGTAATTTTGAAACATTATTCACAGAATAATCATGAAGTTATAACAAAGACAATAAAGTTGTTGTGGCTGCAAGCTACATATTTGAATCAAAGCAATTGAAATTGTTCCATCAATTTACCAAATACACTATCGACATATCAACTTCAATGAACTTGAACAAACAATCCAAACATTATTCTCACTTTAATTCTGAAGAAGTGGTCTTGAACTTGAACAAACAACACCCGTAGTAGCTCTTAAAAAATTAATATCACGCGAAAAGTAATCATCCTAAGAATCAAGTCTCAAAATCATTGACCTAAGAAAGGTTGAGTGCCCAAGGTAAAGATTAAACCATCCCCATTCACCTTTGATGTTTATAATATCAAAACAAGAACTAAAACAATGAAGCAAAACTAGCACTGATCGAGACTATTGAAAACGATTTTCACTAGAAGCCCTGAAAATTCAAAAATAAAAATAAAAATAAATGTTCAACTTGAAATTAGAAGTTATGAAAATCAAAGCAACATATCCAAAAGCATAAATAAATAAAACGAATTTATATTCTAAACCACGAAAACAAACAATACAAAAATCACCATTTGGGGTAAAAACTAAAAAATAATACAAATTTACATACTAAACTATGAAAACAAACAATACCCAAATCACCATTTGGAGTAAAAGCTAAAAAGAATACAAATTTACATACTAAACTATGAAAACAAACAATACCCAAATCACCATTTGAAGTAAAAACTAAAAAAAATACAAATTTACATATTAAACTATGAAAACAAACAATACCCAAATCACGATTTGGAGTAAAAACTAAGAAAATAAGGGAAATTTGAAGAAGAAAAAAAAACAGAGATTCCATATGTTTGTATTGTTGGTAGAGAAAGAAATTTCATTGTTAAAAAATACAAACAATAAATACCCTAATCACATTTTAAGGTAAAATATATAAGAATAAATGAGAAAATTAAGAGAATTTGAAAGGTTATGTTACTTGAGAAGATGACGTTGGTGAGAGAGAGGACTTAATATTTTTGGACGCTAAAAGAAAATTAGTGTGATGATTGTAAAATGAATTATCAAATTTCAGTCGGTAAGTCGTTTTACAGGAAAAGTGACCTAATTTCTATTGACCCGTATTTTATTTTTCATTGACTTTAAACTTTTTCTTTGAATTAAACACCATAAAACTAGAAAAATGTTTTCCTGCAAAATGTTTCCCTTCAAACAAACACACCCTTAAATAACAGTCCCTGCTAAGTTCTAAGCTTCCTGTAAACGCGCCACTCCACGCGAGGCTGGTCGACGTTCCAAAACAATGGAACAATAAAAGACGGAAACACAACCAAAATCCAGCTCAACTCAATCTTCGTCCCGAGAATCTGACCCGAAAGACTCGGATCCCACAATGGACGCGGAGGGCTTTGTTATGGTGCCAACATCAGAGCCACAGAAAAAGGAAGAGAAAGAGACTCGGGATCTGAAAGCGAGTCAGATTCAAAGCCCGCAATCACCGGTCCGTACACCTACCGGCTCGAGAAAATCAGCTCATTGGAGTCCGGAACTTGTTAGTGAATCGCCTGCTGTGGATCAAATCGCCACCATCTCAGCTCCTAACGGATCCAATCCTTACGTTACTCACGCTCCGCCTGCGGAATCCTCTTCGGCTTCCTTCAAAGGCAATCCGTTACACATTTTATTTCTAACCCATTTTTTATTTGATGATCTTAGTGATTAGATTATTTATTTATTTTATATTGGGAACAGAGAAAATATATATAGTTAAGGGTGTCTTGGGGATATGGGGGAGGAAAGTGGCAGAGGCGGCGAAGAAAACGGAGGAGAACACGTGGCAACACTGTATTTTTCTTTTTAAAGTTCCAATTGGTTTTGAATTTATTTTAAATTTCAAGTGTTTTCGTTCTTGATTGTATTTGTATGATTGTATCTGGTTTGAGTTCGTTTGCAATTTGTGGGCCTTTAGAGTTGGAATTTATTACTAGTTCTTGGTAATTTGATTTGTTTTACTTTGTGATGAGATTGAACTATGTTGTTCTTTTGGATGGTTGCTATTGATATTAAGTTATTGAAAATTGAAATCTCAGGTACTGAATTAGGGGTTACTATCTGGATTAAGGCTAAGGTACACTATTGCTTCTTTATTTTGCAGGGTTTGGTGTGAGCTTGCTAGTTTAAGTCTTTAAGAGTGATATACGAAATTTAGGTAGGCGTCATTTTGGAAATGGTTGGACAATTTTAGATATGGTGATCAAGGAAATGGAGAGGAAGTGATAATTTTCATTGCTTTATTTTTTAAAAATCATGTTTTTAGCAGTTCTCTTAAGGAAATGCAATTATCGATTTACTCAAATGTCGGTTGGAGTTAACATTTATGTCTTAATTATTTACTTGCGAAAGAAAATAATTTTATGTAAGATTTAAGGTCAGGGTACCGCGGTTTTCTTAAATGGCATGTCTACTTATAAATTATGCTTAAGAGATTAGTTATGCACTTGCATTTTATCAACAAAGGGAACAAGGTGATTAAATATTTGACAAAGAAAAATGCGACTTGTTTTACAACCTAGCCAAGGCAGGTATCCAAACATAGAGGTGGTTTTAGAAAGGGTCTGTAAAAGTGGGGAATCACAGCGCTAGTTTCCAGAGAGATTGTAGTTATTGCTTCTACATGCCCCAATGGTTAGTAAGAGCTTTCTGGTCTCTTTTCTCAGACTGATGAGACAGCTATAGATTCATGAGGTTGCATCGTAAACTGCTTCCTTAGGTCTCATTGGTTGGTAAGGATCTTTCTTGTCTGTTTTCTTATCGTCTTTAATCTCTTAATTTTGACCTTGGATTAGAACTTAGAGGCAAGCTTGATGTACCTTTATTCTGCATTTAGTTGTATTTAGGGATGATAAACGGACGGGTCGGGTGCGGATACCCCTCCTCTATCCCCATACTCATCTAATATTTTTTAATCTACCATCCACCCACCACCCATGATGGTAAAAAATTTTAAATCCGCATCCGCCCACGCGGGTACATTCTCAAATTCATTCCCACACCTAATACCCAACTGGAGATGTACCCGGCTAGACCCGCATGATAGTTAGGGGTGTGCAAAAAAATCTAATTCAATCGATCTGATCCGTTGACCCGTTGATCCGATCCAAAAATTCTATCCGATCCGTTTTTTAATTTTCGGATTGTTAGGATCGGGTATCTGAAATTTTTCTGAATCATCGGATCGGATTCAGATCAATAAAAAATCATGTTCGGATTATTCGAAGACCCGAAAAAAATTTAGGCTATATTCGAAGACCAGAGGAGATTTTCGTATAAGGCGTGGGCACGACTTATTCATCCTGAGCTATTGTTGAAGAAATCTGCAGTTAAGGTGTGGCACGCCTTACCAGTCTGTACAACCCTAAATTAAAATTTGCTTTATACGACACCATCGTCTATAAACTTCAAAACCTCTGTTGTTTTTGTGGATTTCATATCTCCCACCTCTCAGTTTATAGACCACCAACCACACTACCATATTAAGCTAAACCATCTACCAATAGTATTTATCTATCCTAATCATCTTCCTATAAAAGTCCAAAACTTCAATAAACCATCAGCGATAAGAATTACAAATGTTGGATAGACACCTAAATAAATCCATTCTTTAAGTTGTAAAAATATTATTGGCACAACTTTTTCTGAGTTATTTAATCAGTCTCTTTGTTTGTTGCTGCACCTGTTTCTAATTATAATAATGTTTCACCTTCCTAAAATTAAAACATGATTTCATCTCTTTCCCCACACCAACAACCCAAAAAACTTATACAAATCTAAACAAATGATCCAGGATGCGTAAAATATACTTGGTGTTTGAATCTATACCTTTGCAATATCCCTATCCAGAAAAAGAAGATCAAATCTAAGTTGTATTGGTTTTGGACTTTTTTTCAAGATGTTTTTGTTTTTCAATGCATGATTATACAAATTATAATGCATAAATTATTCATAATTTTCAAAATCAACAGAATGTGTGAATGCACTTAAATTCAGAAGAATACCAAAATCGATAATTCAAAATACGTACATATAACGTGTTTCTTAAAAAACAAAATCAATATATGAATGTTCTTAGATTCAGCAGAATATCAAAATCAAAATAACGGAGTATTGACTATTGATCTTGTATCTTGAACAGAACTAAGAGGATTAGATCTGAAAACTGTAGTATTCACCTTACGACAAATTAAAGCGGCCACAGTTGTTTCGATGCAACAAACAAGATTGGGGAAGGTGGTTTTGGATCTGTGTATAAGGTGACATACAACTCTACTACCCGCAGAGGAGACCAGAGTAAAGAAGAGGAAGAAGGCGTACCTTAATGAGCTGGAGACCAGAGTTTGAAACTTAGAGAAGAAGAACTACCATAATATCGTCGTAGTAACCAACAAACAAAGCACGAGAGGTTTGAAAGAAAAAAATTGATTCATAAACTTATCCCTAATATTTGGTTAAATTATAAGTTATATATTATACAATATTAAGATTTATAAATTAGTCTCTAAAATTATACCTAAATTCATAATGATCCAAAATTTAATGGATATTTAGTGGGCGGGCGGATGTGGGGCGAGTGGATGCGGGGTGGGCGGATGTGGGGCGGGTAAGGTCTCAAACCCATCACCCGCCCACTACCCGCGACGTGTACCACTTTCTAAATCCACACCCGCCCACTACCCACTAAAGTTATACCCATCTCCGCCCCAATTGGAACGGGTACGGTGCGAAATCCACGAAATTATACCCATTTGCCATCCTAGTTGTATTGCTAATTGTTGCAAGTTTAACCCTGTTATTATTGTTTTTTTTATATCGTTTATTATCATCTGATTCACCCATAGCGATGCTCAAACCTACCCATAAGTTAAATATGTCATAAGATACATTCTTGTTTCTGTTAACAATAAAATTATTATCATCCATACCATGTTTGCTATTTAATTATTCAGATCTTGTGTGATGACAACTCTTGCACTATGATTATCCCTTAAATATTATCCATCTGAAGACTTTGAAGTCTCTTTTTATTTTATTTTATTTACTTTTCACCTTCTGTTCTCTAATATTAGAATTCTACTTCACCCACCCAATTACTTTGTTTGATTACATACTACAATAATGTAATTGTGCATCACCTCTTAATGTGGACATTGAGCACTCTGTAGCCCAATTGCACATTCCCTTTGTACTTATGTCCATCTGTAACTCCTTTCGCTCTATTGCTGCCACTTTTTTTTGGGTCATTATCTATTACATTACCTCAACTTATTCATACATTGAATGACCACAAAATAAGATCTTACGTATCCTTAATCATGTCTGATCTCTTCTCTATTGGTCTTGTATGGTGATTTCCTTTAGAATCACTGTTGCTTTTGTTTGGACATAAGAAGTATATTGTCAACTATTCAATTTTATAAAAGAAATATAATATGGAAAGTTATGTATATAGTTTTAAAATTAAAATCATATGCTGTTTTTTATGGAATTTTTCCCTTTTATTAATGAGCCATGCTCTTACCCTGTCTCCTATATTCTTGCTTATCAAGCAGTTTCATATACAGAAAATTACTGAAGATATGTTTATCTCACTTTCCTTTTATCAGTAAAAACAAGCCCTAGTTTTGCTGAGGCTGCCATGGGAAGAATTGCTCAGGGAACAAAAGTTTTGGCAGAAGGTGGCTATGAGAAGATTTTTTAGACAAACTTTTGAGACAGTTCCAGAAGAGCAACTTCAGAATTCATCTGCATGTTACTTATCCACATCAGCTGGTCCTGTCATGGGAGTTTTATATGCTTGCATATTGCACTGACAGTCCTCTTTCCTATCAAAATGGTAGCAAGACTGAATGGAGCTACTACAAGGTTTGTTTGCATTATCCTTACATGCTTCCATTTATAAGACTGGTAGCAACGAGATAATATTTTCCTCTCCACTTCATGATGTTGAAGTTACATCACATCGATAACTTTTTGCATCGAAGTATTTGATTACACGATTATGGTATAGGAAATTCAGTTATGATTCTTGACATTTCTTCCGTTGGCTTAAACAGGTAGTTATCCTATTACATCAACTTAAAGCTATTAATCCTTCAACAAGTCGAGCCAATCCTTCTGAAAAGTACATCCAAGTTATCTCTGTTGATAGTCATGAATTCTGGTTCATGGGCTTCTTAAATTACGACGGTGCTGTAACATGCCTACAGGAAGCTTTGCAACAACATCGTTTACAATCTGTGTGATATTTTTTCTACCAGCATAACCTTCACCCGGTCATAACATGTTTCTTCATGTGAGCATTTGATCTACTGCTTGGAGGCATTTGATGGAAAAAGCTCGTTCGGGGGCTCTTCAATATTCTATGGCAATGGAAAAATAGGTAATGGTAGAGTTTGTATCTGGAAATCATATGGAAGTTAGAAGAAAAGAGTACAATGGATCTGCTCTGTTTTAAGCTCTTCTGGTTTTAGTTTGACTTTATATAATCCTTCCTATAACTAGATAGCATACCGAATATTTCGACATATGTTTTCTGTGTGCAACTGCCTTGTCGAATAGGTTTCGATTAACAGGGTGAAGACTGAATCCTTGAAATCCAATGTGATAACCGATACATTTGTTAATCTGCGGTGTTGTTGAATGTCAGCATATCACTTCGAAATGATGTAAGATTCAGGTACATTATCTTATTTGGTTCTTGAGCTTTGAGTTTACAGTACTACGACCAACTTGTTATGGCGCCTGTGTTCAGGCTTAATTTCCCATAGTACATTGTCCATAATATTGGTATGATTTAATTTGTCATTGGCAGAAAACTCAAATATTTTAATAATTGATTGGTTTCACCACTAGGTTAGATTTGGCTGTTTGAACCAAACTATAATAAATATAAAATTAACTATGATCAAATCATGCCAATTCATCAAGAATAATAGATACTAGATTTGTGAAAGTGTATCTAAATTAATCGATGTATTGAAATCCTTTAGTATATCTTTGGTTGTGATCTTCCAAGAAGATAGAGTACCCTTAAGTATAAACGCTCTGATGAGATAAGAGTAAATACGATATTATCTATTTCTTGGGGATCATAACCCTTTTATATAGTTGATTTAAGAATCAATTATTGTATGTACTTATAACTATGTCCTTTAACAAATTATAAATACAATTTTAATAGTATATATATATCTTTATTTTCATTACACTTCTAATACCTTATGATTCTATAACATAATTGATCATTTAGTTTATGTCATATTTTATTATAACAATATAAATTATAAATATATACTCAATAATTATGGATTTTAATCCAACAATCTCTCATTTGACAACTTATGTTTCATGATAAATGTATACCCTTATGAGCTCAAAATTTGTTATCATGCAATAAGTATTTTATAACAATCTCGTCAATCAACTATATCCATATAAGATCAAAGCGACCTTTGTCATATTAATAATAACTAGACCTGTCAATGATCATGTATACAAACACAGTCAAATGACATAGATTAATCATGAAGCATAGCATGGAAATTACATACAATGTGAATCGCACATATCTATTTCCAACTGGTCCTCTTTAAACTATAGTGAGATCAGATTTTACTAAAACCAGAGTATGGATAAACCAAAATAAACTTTATTTTTGCAAAAAATAACTAACATAATATCCTTAAACTGGAGTAACTATAATTGTGTCTATAACAATGGACATTAAAACTGAATATCCTTAAATGATATTACACCCACATGAGTAATGTGATCATGAAAGACCTTGGTGACAATTCCTTAGTATGTGGGCAATTATGAGTTGGTACAAATATGCTCTATAAACACATAATCACTCTGATTTTTCTTTAATAACCAGAAACATAATGTCTATGTGCTTAGGCTTAAGGTGTTTCTATTATATATGGAATAAAAGACTACAACTTAGTTGTCACAAAATAACTCAAATGGTCTTTCTTATCAATCCATAATTAGCAGTTCATGTGACAAAATTTTTACATCCATATTCTAATAAGTCAAAGTCCATAAACCTGATGATCTATCCCTTACTAGATCTTCGATATGTAATATTTTTTTTAAATGTATAGTATGAATCAATTTGGATCAATTTGGCTACTATCCAATGATTCATACCAAAATTGCTTAAATATCTGCTTAATATTCTAAAATGATACGCTATGTCTGAATGCGTATAAACCTGAGTATACATTAATCTCCTCATTTATTTATGAAACACAAGGGACCTTTAACATTTTGTTAGTGTCATAATCATCCTTAAGGCGCTGATCAAAACTAAACTTGTTTCCTTTAGCAATAAGATGTATTATTGGTTTACTCCCACTGAACTTATAGTGTATACAATTGTCAACCAAATTCATCTCAAAACCAAATGAGATAGTCATTTGGTGAAATTTGTTATACAATTAGCGGGAGTAATACTTGAACTTATAAATGGATTTATTTAATTTGCATATCATTAGTTTTGTATCATTTGACACCATTTTCTAATTGTATCGTATAAAATATTTCATCAATGTTACCATTAAGAAACATAATTTTGAAATCCAACTTATGTAACTCAAAATCAAATATAAGCAACAAGTATTATAATTTTATAATTATTCTGAAAGAGTCTTTCAATGAAACCAAAGAGAAAGTCTCTACGAAATTAATGCATTCTTTCTGAGTATATCCTTTAGATACAAGACACACCTTATACCTATCAATATCACTATTTGCATCTATCTTGATCTTAAATATCCATTTGCAACCAATAAACTTTGCACCTTCAAGTAATGAGATAAGTTCTCAAACCTTATTATCTTGTATAGAACTTATACTCTTTTTACATGTCATTAATCCACTTTTGAGAGTCAGAAATTTTATGACATGACGAAAGTTGATTAGGTTATCTTCCATCATTTCCATTGTCATCCTTATTTCTTGTAAAAACATAATAATCTAAAATAATATATCTCTCATCTCGTGGATCTTCTTAATAACACTTGTTCTTTGATGTTGTTGAACTTGTTCATCTTAAATGGAGATTTATTCAACATTATCTTGTTGAGATTTTAGATTCACTTCTTGATTAACGACATATATGAACACATTGATATCATCGAAAGTGATAATAAGAATTGAATTATAATTCAATTCTCCTTCAAAAGTAACTCCTTAGACCTTATTTCTCCATCCAAACTCAGCATCCTCAAAAATATTGTTATAGATCTCATCTTAAAAATATTCCTAATTCTGAGATTATAAAATTTATAACCCCTAGATCACTAAAAATGACCAAAGTAGTTGCTTAATGTTTTAGAATTCAATTTCTCATATGTCCTATCTTATCTCAAAAGAGAACAACCCTTTGTAACATATTGCTGTCTCTTTTGAGTTGAACCCTTAACAATTACATTATGATTTTATTTTAATTTTTTGTCCATATCTTTATATGCACTTTTCAAGATAGCACTTTCAAACTTATTATGCTTCAACCTTTCTTCATCTTGCACATAATGAGAAATGAGCTCATTTAGAGTTCATTTCTCCCTTTGAGTTGATTAAGCTCTAAGAGAAGAAATGATACTAAAATCACAAGAACAAGTAATTCTTTAGAAAAATTCGATCTTAAGTGCCTTAAGTCTTGAGGTAATATGAAACATATACATAATCTACTCCCTCACATTTCCTTGAACTTTATACTTTATAGACATCAAAGATGTCAAAAGCAATGTCATTTAAACCTGATTGTTTTTGGAAAAATATTTCTTAATTTCATCAAGGAAACCATTAGCCTTAGCAATATGTTCATATTATACGCCCTTAAAGGCTTCTAAAATATTGTGCTTCATGACTACTAGACTTATGCAATTTGAAAAAATTTCACCTCTCAAATTCCCTTATACCAATGAAGGATTTTATCCCCGTGAGAGGTGGAAATTGTGCTTTCCTTAGTGCAAAATCTATGTTCATACAACCAAAACTTATATAAGTGCATTTTCTCATTCCTTGAGATTCATTTTCTTAAGCATGAGCAGAAAATGTATAATAGCAGATATTGTGATATCAATAAATAATTAGATGAATACAGAATAAAACATTAATAAAATTGAAGCTCACATCTTAATTAAACGAATAAACTCAAAAATAATGGTTAATTTTCATATCAAGATACCAAACACTACATCAATATCAAGTATTTGGACATTAATATTAATCGTAAACGATACTCTTGTTGTAGTAATCAAACATTGACAATAAACTATGTCGAACAAAAGACTAATATTTGGACTAATGCAATGCTCACATAAAATACCTTATAATTATCACATATTATTACAACAGATGTCGCTTGAAATCCGGCCAAATATTAACTTTCCTTTGGGTCCATTAATAAACGTATAAATCATAAGAAACACATAATCATCTTTATATTTTAAATAAATCAGTCTACACAAAAGAGGTCACTCTGACGGAATTATGTTTCAACTAATCTATCAAAATATCAAACATATCTTTCATATAAGTTAATTAATTTGTTTATATATATATATATATTACATTACAATATAAATAAAATCATATAAATATTGTCAGTAAATTAATTTCTCCTAATTTTATTTTTTAATTAAATTAAAAGATAACCAAAATAATAATAAATTTGAATACACGAAAATTTTATCTCAAGATATCAAATGTTCCATTAGTATTTTATCTTTAGATAAAATATTTATCTTAAGTGATATCTGATGCAGTAATCAAACACTGATAATAAGAACATGTCAAGCACAAATCTCCCCTTGGACCGATTTATTACTCACATATTAAACCGAATAATTATCATATATTTATTACCAAAATTATACATGCGATTATGTATAACCCTAATTTTACGATTTGAATCGGTCAAGTAAATTTTGGTATCAAAAGCGTGCTAAAAATATGCTAGCAAACGAATGAAGTTCACAACTAGTCACGAAACATTGGCTAAAAGAACTTAATAAACTTTCAAGACAACAATCGCACAACAAAGATTGAGCGATTGTAAGTGATAAAAAATACATAAATTTTCCAATATAACCGAACATATCCCAAGCGATAAGAATAAGAAAATTCCTAATATTCCTTTTCTTTTACCACAATTGCAGTTATTGATTTATTAAACTTTATGCAAATCAATAAGCAATCATATATTTTCTTTATAATGGAAACGTATGGATGACGACACTATCAAAAATAAATCTAACTTCTTTTTATGGTTTTCAGAATCGGATCGGTTAGTGAACGTGTCATGCTACCAATTCACTAGTTTAACCGGTCGAACTGGTTCGACCGGTCGGAAGAACCGAACGATTTCATAATTATTTAAAAAATTAAATAAAAATACCAAAAATATTTAATAAAAAATAATTTTTTATATCACAAGTTATATTCAAAGCAAGTCATAACATATAAGTTAAAAACCATAAAGCAAGTGAAACAATATAATTCAAATTAACTACAACATAATTTAAAAAACAATCTCACATGGCTAAAAAACATAGAAGAG